GTTATTAAGGATATTTAGATTAATTCGACACATAAATGATATTTAGAATCAGGATATAGGATTAATCGAGTTAATAATTTTTTTAAAAAATTAAAATTATGTTGTTTTTTTAAAAAATGGTTAAACTGACTTATAAGTTGATTTTTCAAGTAAATTAAATCAAATAAAGTTATTTCCAAGTGAAACTTATTCTTACAATGAGCTTGGTCAGGAAGTGGACGAGCCAGGTCCAAAATCAACCGTTGAGTTAAGATGGGAGCTTTAAAAGTGCTCATAATAATCTCGTTATCTATATCAGCAGGTAGGAATCCAAAGTCCATGAGCATGCAGGGCCTACAGCCACAAGATTGGTGGACCTACATCATGAAATTAATCGGCCTTTATTTGGGACCCACGTGAGTACCGCCGTTCTAATACCGCTGACGCAGAGGCAGCTTTCTGATGAAACGACAGTGGATACGGGTTCATTTGTTTGAAGATTTAAAGATTCATGAAATTTTTAATTTTTTAAATATTACTACATCAAAATTTCTCAATAAAAATACTAAATTAGTATATTTTTAGTTTAAATATATCTTCAAAAAACGCTTTCAAAACGTCTTTGTAAAAACTGCATCGTTGTCTTGGTATTCCCTAGGAAGATTAGCCTCCGTACTTCTCACTGGACATGGTGCCCAAAAAGAAAATCACATGGCGATGGGACCTGGGTGATTCCCGAGCGGCGCAGCGTGCCATTTAACTCATAATCAGATTGTTAATCATAAAACCGGTGGGTAAACCCGAATAATTAATTAAATCTCACTCGCTTGTGTGTTCTAAATAAACCCGCTCACATATTTAATCTTATTTTCTTATTAATATGAAAGTGGAAGAAGATTACAAGAATATATTAAGCATTTTGACACCAAAACAACAGCTTTTGGTTTCTGAATAAATTATGGGTGCGTGGTTGAAAGAATTATCCAAAGAAAATATCTTAGATTGATTGTAAAAAAGAAAAATCATAGTTAATTTTAATAAACCAGATAATACAATGGTGGGAGATGTATAATTAATTAAAGTGGCGCTGGCCATCAAGAGTTTTGTCCTGTTATCTCTTTCCCTGACATGACATTAATGTTGTCAAATAATTTGGGTTTCGTCGCAGGTGACTTTGTTGCTTCGCCAAGAGATCAGATCCAACATGCTCCACGCGGATCCCATCAAACATTGGACAATTTGTCGTTTCGTGCCCAATTTCAGAGACAGCAGCATCAGCACCCACAAGATCGCTTAGCTAGTGGGAAGGGAAGATAACAGCATTTTCGAGCCACAAGTAACTAGTTTAATATCTAGTTTACTTTTTTTCCGGGCTGAGAAAAATAAAATAGAAAAATATTATTTTAATATATTTTTAATTAAAAATATTTTAAAAAATAATTAATATTATTATATTTTCGAACACCTTTTAAATTTTAAATGTGAAATATACCACTTTGGAGTGAAAAGATATGGGTCATAAAGATTATTTTTTTTGCAATAATTATTTTTATTTTGTGAATTCTTTAATTGTTGAGATTTTTTGGGTTTTATATGGTTCAGAAATTTGAATGCTAAATAAATTAAAATAATTTATAGTTACTGGTAACTTATTTTTATTATTGACACTTGGAATTATCTAAACCCTAATTCTTTTTATTGACAGATTTACAATAGTTTCAAAGGACGTACAGAAGGGGGCTCCGCGGCCTCCGCCTCTAATTAATCATTGGGAACAAACTTTTGAGAAGGGCGGGCCTGCTGTTAAAGCTCCCAAACACCCCCTTTGGTGAACGGAAGAGCCATTGCTTGGATGGCATTGTTATCTTGATAGGAGGTATTTCTAATTAGAGTTGATATGGGTGCTATTAAATTCAATAATATAGATAAATTTAATGAAATAAGCTATGATGTGATGAAGTTGCTTCTGTTGTTTTATTTAAAATATTTTTTTTTACTTAGTCGAATTCAATTTTTGATTGTAATTTGAGGACAAGTTTTTTTTTTTTCCTTTTCAACCGGGAGAGTTTGATGTGAAGCGTACAATATTTAATTCCTTGTATGTTATTTTTTTAATTATTAATTTTTTTTAGGATTTATTCAGTTTGATAACTTTAATAATAGATGAATTTTACTAGCCATGTAATTTTTAATAAAAAAATCATTTTTTCTATATGGATTTAATTAGTTATACGTACAACTATTATAAATAATGTTATATAAATTATTTTTCAAAAAAATTTAAGAATATTATTATGATATTTATATTTTATCAAATCAGTGTTTTCTATACAATTTAATTATAATTTTGAGGCCTATAAAACCTCTAACTTTCTATTTTTTTAGTTATACATTATGTCACCTTTCAATTTTTAAAGGCCATGTTTGGTAGTATATTTTCATTGTTTTTTAAAATGTATTTAAATTGAAAAAATATCAATTTTTTATATATAATTTTAGATTGTTTTTATATATTGAAGTGAAAAATATTAAGAATTACTTAAAAAGTAAAATAAATATACTTTTAATCCAAATGCACTTTTATAGAAATATATATACCACATTATCAAATTATATTAATAACTTAAAAAAATTGAGGTTGGTTTAATTATCCATATGAACAGTAAATTGTTGTTCTAAAATTAAGATAACAATAATATCAAAAAGAAGGTGAATTAGATGTTTCATTAATTATATCAAATAATATAAATAAACACACCAAGTACATATAATACAATACAATGTCAAATAATATAATTAAAGTGTTTAAAGTAAAAAGATAGAAAGAGAGATTGTAAACTATATTTTTAACGTGGTTCAAAAAATCTACATTCATACCTCAAGTACTAACTGTAATTGAATATTATATTCTTTTATTACTTAAAGTGAAAGATATAATGCTCTTGATAAATTCACATCAAATAATTACACTACTTGAAGATGTTTCCTCCTTCAAAATTTTTTTAGTAACAATATCTCACTAATGCCAAGAGTTTATCTAAACTCTCAAATATTTACAATTATGATTTATTTAAAACAAGATTTATTCTCTCAAAAAGCAGATTGCACAACTAAAAATTATAATCTCTATAACTCACCCAATAACACTTATAAAGATTTAATTTAGCATAATTTAGAATATTTTATTATTGATGATTTCCAATTGATTTTTTCTTTTGGAACAGCTTCTGTACTATGTATGTTAGATTCTCTCTTTAATTTTGCATAAAAGAGAGCTATATATATGTTTCCAAAAGAGACTAATTGTTTATAGCCATTAGAATGTATTTGACAATTAAAATGGTCGATATGTTCAAATGACCATATTTTTTGGTCAATCAGTTTCTATACATTTCTCAAGTGTTCATCACGGGATGAATAACGGTATTGGACTGATTCAACTTAACAACTATTTTTGACAGTTTCAAACCTGCTAAAACTTAAACCGATTAAATGTATATCAATCCTATTTATACATATAATGTGAAGTGTGTGAGTTCATTTTAGCTTGCTATTAAGTAAGATATGAAGATTTAATGATAAACATTAAAATAAATCCTTAAAAACTAAGTCTTCACTTACTTTACCTCTTGAACTTGTTGATGAATTTTTTCATTCAATTCCTTATATTTGTTAATGTGATCTTCATATAAACATGTTTAAAGTTAATCTCTTCCAAACATATCATTAATTTGTTTTAATTTAATTGTTATGATCAAAATATACAAAACATTATTATGTGACCCAGAGGTCAACAATTCTCTTTTTTCTTCTTCTTTATGATGACAATTAATATATATATATATATCACCCTTATAATTTACAATCTAGTTCTTTGAAGACTTAAACAACAATAAATAATCTATAATTTTAAGTTTATTTCCCCCTTGACAATATAACTATGTTTTATATCAATTCTTCAATTTCATCCTTTAATATAGTGTTTTTATTTAATTTTATCATGCATTATTAATTTGATTTTTTTTCTTTGAACCTATCAAGTGAACAAGGTCACGCGAGGTAACTCCCACACAACTTGATACTTGAGCTAGGAAAATAGTTAGGTTAGGATTTTTAAAATTTGTATTGTTGTCTCGATTTTCATGTATGATAATGTTAATAAGTTTTTAATAATCTAGATATTATTTTTTATGCTAAGCTGCAAGCGAGATCATACTCAATAAACTAGTACATGCTAAATAACATATCCTCATCAGAAACATTATGTTATAAAAAAATAAAATGAAACAAATAAAAATATAGACATACCAAAATTAATTTTAAGTTGACAATCTCACAATTATAAATTTAGAAAGTATAAGTAAAATTGTGTCTTGAACCATCATTTATTTAACAGCTGTGCATGTTAAATGTTTTTTTTTTTAACTTGTAACATAATATTATACATGAATTTATTTTTAACAAATTATAAATCTGATGTTCAAAACCGAGTTTGTATTTTTTATTATATTCCCATGCATGAGTATGTATTCAACATGAATCTATACAAAAGGAAAAATCCAATTTAATGCCTAACCAATATATCTATATATAAAGTAGCATCTCAAATCTATATATAATTGATTAGTTAAGTTTTTAGCATGTCTCAGTTGAGTATTTTTATCAATGTTTATCTTGTAGTTTGCATATTTTATACAATAAAACGACACCAATTTGAAAAAACATTGATGGAGAGACGAGAAGTTGTCTGCGGAGTCATAAAAAGTATGGCGAGAAACGAGAGTCAGGTTGCGAGAAGAGTTAAACAAAACGGATGTTAACACGAGATGTGTTTTTGCTGTCGTAAAGCACGTGCATAGGTGCCTCAAAGTTCGTAGAAATCAAAGAAAAAGCGATCGCTTTGCTTAAGCCACAGAGTTTATAGTAGTTAGTTAATGGCTGACCCGATAAAGACTGAAAAAGACGCCATTGTCAAGCTCAGCTCCCTCATTTTTAAAACGAGAAAGCGAGGGACTTTTTTGTTGATAGAGAGAGTGAGTTTATGTCAATGCCTGAATCTATATATGTGGCATTGGATCCTTCGCCCAAGTGTGTTTCTAAGTTCCCTACATTCTCTCTCTCCTCCCCCTTCAAGAACATTGCCATAGCTAAAATCCAAACAACCTCCCCCTTCAAGAACATTTCCATAGCTAAAATCCAAACAAGCTCATAGACATGAAGTAAAGGTGGCCATTTTATATGGTTGTATTCTTAGCCACTGCTACGTACTACTGCATTCTTGCCATAAACGTTTTCTGGTTGTCCTTGTTTGCTTGTTTTTGTTTCATTCTTTTCCCTTTTCCCTGCTAGCTTGCTAGGTTTCTCAAAATCTAGCTCTACATTTCAACTGTGTTTGTCCTTTGTTTGCTTTATTAATCAAGAGAGATCTTTTATCATGTTCTCCGAATTGAAATCATTTTCGTTAATGGGATTGTCGAACTCTGAGATGTTTTTCTCTGAGAAAGATCTGAATCCCATGGATTTCAATTTCCTTGTGAGATCTGCATTAGAACTTGGAGATGACTGTGAAATTGTACCCCAAGAGCTTCATCAGGAAAAAGAAGTTGAAGAAGAAGAAAAGCAAGAAGACGATTGCGAGATATCGGTGCCTACTTTGAAGATAAAATTGCCGTCTGTAGAAGCATTCCAAATTGAAGATGATAAAGATGACGATGATGATGGGTTCAAGACTCCAACTTCTTTGAATCGCAAAATTCCTGTCATTTTTCAATGTCCGCCCGCACCCAGAAAACCTAAATCACTCCCATCAGCCAAACGAAAATCGCCTCAACGGGGAGTCTTACTTGATCTGTCCAATGAGATCGAATCCTTGTTTCCTCCGGCTCTTGCTGGGGATCTTGGTGGCAAGATTAAGAAAGTTAGACAAGATAATGACACCAAATAAATAAGAGGTTCTATATATAATTATGTACTTTCGTGAAGTAAAATTTATAGTTACGTTTTTCTTAATCTTATCTCTCTCTCTCTCTCTCTCTTTTAATTTACCAATTTTTTTTTAACTAGCAAAACCATATCCAGGAACCTAATATCATCAACGCTGTATCTCAGATTCCTATAATTTCTTTCTTTACAAGGCAGGTTCATGTTTCATCTCTTTCAACCCCTCTTTCTTGGTTCTTGCACAGGCATGGATTCCGAATCTGTAACTCGCTTTGTGCAAAATATTAATGCCAAATGATCGCTTATGACCGATCTACTCATACAGCTTCTTATTGACTTAATTACTCGTAGGATTCTGGTGCTAATTTACTGGACCCCTCGAGTTATTTTATTTTCTTCATTTGAACAAACCCCACCAAGTAGTTATATGTTGTTTCTTGAATACTGATTTTATATCTGTTATGAAGATGAAGAAGAAGGGTTTTGTATCCAGGAATTAGTTTAAAGAACAAAAAAAAAAAGAAGCTCTAAATTTCTCGGAAGCATAGGTATAATAATTTCATCGACATCTTTCTTAAGCGAAGGGTAAATGCGTTGACTTCCCCGAGGTAAACAAATATGCTCCACATTGGAGGCCAGCAAGGTGAAGCAAAAGCCAAGGGAGATATATATTCCCTCGTGTGACTGAAGACATCAGAGATTCAGAGCAGCAATTGATTGAAGACTGTCCTGGACTGCCTTTTCATGTCCTCCTGGCTTTTCATTGCTTGAGATGACATATCCATAGATCATCGGAGCTGAAAGATGGCCGAAGGCGTTGTCTAATTATATGTAATCGTGCCCAACATAAGTTTCCTAAATCAATCCTCTTCTATAATTTTATTTTTAATTTTATCCTTCTTAGTTTAATTTCATTATTTAATTTAAATTTTTTAATTATTCTCTAATATATTTTTATTTTAATATTAATTTTTATTTTTTTATTTCGAATCCTTTTATATATATATATAATTGATTTTGATTTTAAAAGACTGAAGCAAAATAAACCGAACCGAATAAAACCGATTCAAATATAAATAAAAAATCTAGACCTCGATGGTACTATAAATACCTTTCTATTCTCCCATCTACCTTTACTTTCTTCTTTAAATCCTAGTAAGCTCCAGTCATCTCTGTAACACCGCCAACCGCTAAAGAAGAGAGCCCATAAATTAAACAATTAAATAGCAATCTTGGAGCCTCCCTTTTCAATCTTCATCTTTTATTTCTTCTCTCTTAATCTTTCTTTTCTTTTTTCATCTCTAAATGGATTAAACATCTAAATAGCAGCCCTAAAGCCCCCCTTCAATTTTCATGGTATTTGCAGATGTGCTGCTTGGTGATAAATCACCTAGGAGTCCTTAAAAACTTTGATCTACTGAATTGACATATATTTGTCCTTAATGCATCATTAGAAGTGGCACACAAAATATTCTTGTCAATGAGATCTTTCTTAACAAGAGGGAGACTTATCAGATTGTCCAAAGTAACTACTAACTTTTCTTCTAATTTCTATATATCTATTATATATTTATTTTTTCATATTTATTTAAGAGGTTGTTGGTTTGCTATAGTATGTTGCGACCATCATCATGGATATTGTGAGAAATGAGAATTGTTTTTTCCAAATATTTGTCTGATACTTGTCCTTTCTAGCTTCTTTATTTTTTATTTTGAAAAAACCCGCTCGATATATTTGGCCAAGATGAAATCAATTTTTTCTAGTTTTTCCTTTGAATTAATCGAACAGAAACTTGTTGGTTTAAACCGATTTTGGTTTTGATTTAAATAAAAAAATTAGTTTGATTATTTTTTAGGTGAAAATCGGACTAAACAAGAAATGCACACCACCAATTCTAATTTTATAACCTAAATCATGAGTTTAGCTGGCTGACTTAACTATTTTTATGGTGTGAAAAACATTTTAATCTTTTTTCAAACATATATTTTGTAAAAAAATAATAATTCAAGTTCAACCCTATGCATAGGGCATGTTGACGTCTAGTATGTTCTCTTAGTAAAAAAGACAACCGTAAGAAATTCAAAATAGACCTTTTTTAGTAGGGGTAAAAAAAAACTGACCAAATCGAAACCAAAACCTATCAAAAAGTCCAAAAAATTCCCAAAACAAAATTTAGTTTTTGGTTTTAATATAAAATAATCGAATTAAACCAATCCAAACAGAACTGAAACCAATCATTTGGTTTTGATTTTTGATATAAAATAATCAAATCAAACCAAAATTGGTAAGTTGGAACAGGTTTCGATACCAAACCAAAACTAGTCAGTTAGAACAGGTTTCGGTTTTATTTTTTGTATTTTATAAAATTTCAGTTTGGTTATTTTTATAGATAAAAACCGAACCGAACCAAAAATAATCACCCATACTTTCTAATTTTCTAATTAGAAAATCTTGAATTTAACAAAAAAAACACCCTTTTAGGAAACAGTTATTTATTTCCACTTCATATTAATTAAGTGTGGGCAAAAAGTGTCTTATTATGGTAAATAAACTTAAGGATACCTTATTTTGAAAAATAAAATTTTTAAGATGGAAAAGTTCTTGATTTGTATTTACAATGAAAACCTAATTAACACTTTCCTTTCGTTTGTTTGGCTCTGGAGAAGAAATTAGAAATTCGAACTTCACATTGATTGCAAATATATCCTCTGTGATATTTGTTAGGCAGCATTCAATGGGCTGGTGATACTGGAAAGGAAAAGGTTCCATGCTCTAGCCTCCAGGTTTTTATCACCTTATTAATATATGCATGTCGGCTTCTATATATGTCGTTCTAGTTTGATTTTGATTCTGCTTTGGACACTTTTTTTTCATCCTGGAATATCTTTAATTAGATCTTTTTTTACTATGAAGAGTTTCATTCCATACTTAAAGAAGCTTTCTTGATCGAAGTTTTACCTTTGAGCAAGGTATTTTGCAGCAATTTGAGAATCTTTCTGTTCATTTTTTTTTAATTGATATTGTTCAAGTTTTTTTATACAAGTTCAATATCCAAACTACAAAAAATTGATAAAAAAATTTAATTTGTCAATAAAACTATAAAATCTTATAATATTTGAAAATCTTCCTGTTCTTTTTTTTAATTGATAAAAAAGTTTAATATCCAAACTACAAAAAGTTAATAGAAGGATTCGATCTATTGATAAAACTATAAAATCTTATAATATTTGAGAATTTTTCTATTTGTATTTTTTAAATTAATAATGTTTAATTTTTTTTAATACAAGTTAAATATCGAAACTACAAAACCACATACAAACCGAGACAAATAATGGCTTATATAAATGATCCAAGAAATTTTGAAATTATAAAATGGAAAGGGCCAAGCATATTCCTCAACAGCTTGTCAAAAGAAATTAAGCATGACTACCTGTGTCATGAGTTAATAAAAGGTTAATTTGATATTTAAGGGCAAAGAGAATGAAGACTTTAAAAAAATAACATGATTTCATCACGATAATCTTTTTTAAACCTTGGATAATATATAACAACATTTTTCTAAAAAATGTGCAAAATAATTGATTTATATGATAAAAAAATGGAAACTTTGCTATATAGGGTTAACTCCAGGAACTGAAGCTTTTATTTAAAAAAAATATATAAAAATCTTGAATCATATTATACCCACTCTCATTCAATTTCATGCTAAAAACCACGTTTAAATAATAAATTCAATCTTCTCGGAGTTTTTTAAACTAAAGTTCTAGCATTATGATGATGATCATGGGCCGCATGAGAATCTCTGGCCCTTGAAATCCATACCTGCCGTGGTCCATCAGAATTGGGCATAACCATTTGAAATTCTCTATGGGCTAATTGTTAGCTTTAATTCTCCCATGAGCCACGAGCCACTCTCGGTCCTGGGGCGTCCCACAATCGCAAAGGGTCATTTCTCTCTAGCTGGCGGCTCCTTCTTCTGGGTGATGGCTCTGAACCATCGATTAACTTTCACGGCGTCTTCTGTTTTCCCCATTCTCCCAAAAACAAAGTTCTGATTTCCCAATGCAGGAAAATAATTATACAAAAATAATATTATTATGCTATGGAAAAGTTGAAATCATGGTATTTGAATCCTGTCACCCCTAACGCTGCATTATAATTGTGGAAGAGCTGCCATAATATTATTAAAGAAATCTAGGTACCTGCCATTACTCTTGAAAAATCATCATGATATTTCTTTGATCAAATATTTTATCATGGTATGGACTTGTATATATAATAAATAATAGACAAATATATTATTTTATATTTATCAACAGCATTCCTGAAAAAATAAATTATCAACAAAGCTATGGGATCACAAAAATCTATTTTGGGCATTTCATAAATCATGAAAATAACACAAGGACTTGGTCAATTAGATCAAAGCATTACTTACTAAGTTTAGCAGGGGTGGGATGCCGTCTCACTTCTTATAGTATTTATATGGATAGTGAAGAAAGTGACTTCCTGTTTTCTTTTTTTTTCTTCTTCATCCTTTTCTTTCTCTTTTTAAAATTTCCCCCTTTTCTTTTCATTTTCATTTTCATTTTTATTTTTTTAATTTTATTTTTTAATATTTGATTGATTTTGATTTTGTTTTTATAAATTGTTTTAGCTTGCTTTTGATAACGTTTGATTTTGTTTTTACAAATTGTTTTAGCTTGCTTTTGATAACGTTATCATAATCTCAAACAAACATTCTGACAATTGATTTGTGCTTGAATTTACTGAGTTTTTATTTTTATTATTTATAATTAAATAAAAAATAATTTAAAAAATAAAATTCTTAAACCTAGTAAAGTCTGTAACTTGGTGGAATTGAAGGGTTAAGCCACGAAACTCGGGTTCATCTAATAATATATTGCATTTCAATATAAAAAAGGTTACCATATTTTTTACTAGTTATTCAGATTATTTTGGGACTCACCAAGTCAATTGAACCATGTTGAGGCAACTCCCACATGATTTAAATTTAAACTCATGTTAGGTAAAAAGTTGAGTCAAGAGGTTTTCTAAACTAAGTTTA